AGAACCAGGGAATACTACCAAACCTAACAAAAAATGTCATTGCCATTATTGTAATACAATACGTCAGGCGAACGATGGACTAAATCTTGTAACAGAAAGAGGGACGCAATGTAAAAATCATCACTGATGTTGTGAAGCAGCAACACAGGATTATTCAGTACGTCTCCTCGGGTAATTCTTGAGCTTCAATTGTACAACTTATTTAGCTCATCCTTAAACTTGGCCTTCAGTTGCTCCCTCTTCAACTTAAGTGCTGCAGTTACCAGCCCGGATTCTGGGGTCCACGGATCGGGCAACAATTTAATCTTGGCAGGAAGTTCAAACTTGTCCAGCTTCGCTGCTTTTCCCGCCTGTGATGTTGCCGAGACGGTAAAATAAATTAAATAAATAATCACCACAAGTTTCCATTTCAAAATTCCATCTACCGAAGGAGGTGATTTGGAGATATGAAGCTATTTTAATACCACAAACCAAAAACATTCCGTAAAATAATCAATTGGACATATGAGAACAAACAAGGTAGGAACAAAAAAGATTACGAACCTTGGCTAATGACTGTTGAACCTCATTTTTAGCTTCTGATTTCTCACACAACTCAGCAAAGTCGTTGTACTTGATTCCGGATTCATTGGCCCATCCTTCGAGGACCTGACGTGACGGCACAACAAGGGCAACACAAAAGTTGTGGAGAGGATCTGCATACACAATTATGTTATCCACAAGATTGCTCGACATGAGTGCAGCCTCAACCTGCACGGCCATCAAAACTTAGATTCCTCATACGAGAATAAGTACCAGAACCAACCCTGAAACTTTTAGCTTACTCGAAAGTTAATAGAAAACAAAAATGAAAAAGAGAGAAGAAAATTACGAAAATTCAAAGTCTGAAAACACCCTCTCGAGTTCTGTGTTATATCACAAATTAGTAATTACCCTCGTCAACAGTACACGTTAATTGATAGTTGAGTTTACGTGTAATTAGGGAAAAAGTCGAGGGTAGTTATTTTAACAGAGGCAACCTTTCCAAGTGAGATGTACTCTCCGTGCTGAAGCTTCACGATATCTTTCTTCCTGTCAATAATCTCAAGGCACCCATCAGGATGAAACATTCCAATATCACCACTGTAGAACCAGCGCATTCCTTTTTCATCAACCTGCATAAATCGAGCAAAAATACATGAGTTGGTAGAAACTTTTGCTCCAACCCTGCGAACAGTGGCCAGTATGAACTTGGAAACATTCGAAACCTTGTACACTTCTCCAGTTTTGGCGTCATTTCTAAAATAACCAGCCGTCACGCTGGCCCCACCAATGACAACCTCTCCTCGGGGCAAAGGATTATCCATTATCGTGTAGCCACCTTCTTCCCAAGAAACAAGCTGCAAGTAAACAAATCCGAGGCTCAAATGGCGAAAAGCAGAGAAAGTAAATATAAAAAGAACAATGGTGACAGACTCATACAAATGCAGAAAAGTACACTCATACATATGTTGAGGTGTGAAGATTAGTCAAAGAAAGAGAACTTCCTCGTAAGTTCCCGGTGAAAGAAAGAGAACTTCCTCGTAAGTTCCTGGTAAAAGATAGGGAACTTCCTCGTAAGTTCCTGGTAAAAGGAAGGCTACTTCCTTGCAACTTCCTGGTCAAAGGAAGGGAGCTTCCTCTCAACTTCCTCGCAAGAAGGATTTGTTTGGCTATAAATACCTCATTTTGTAACCTCATTTGTATCCAATCCAAGTGAAAAAGAAAAACATATAAGTGTGAAGAAAGAGTAGAGAGAGTGTATTCATACGGGCTTGTGTGAGTTGTAACATTCGGTTTATCCTCTTATTCTAGTTCATTCTCCTGGCTTGGTTCGCCCCCAGACGTAGGATTTAATCCGAACTGGGTTAACAAATATTCGTGTCTTTTATTGATTTCACATTGGTGTATTATTATTATTCCATCTTATCCGACCTTACTAGTACGTACCCCGTGCAATGCACGGGACAAAGATATTAAATGAGTTATTTTCACAGTCTTGTCCGTTTAAGTGTAAAAGGTAATAATGTAATAATGTTATTATCTATTTTCTACCTCTTTTAATCAACGTTAAGTCTAAAAATTTATTAACCGCCCTCTGGTAAATATGTATGGAGTTATGTGTTCGTGTCTCATAAGTCACAAGCATTATGAATAACATTACAAATTATTCATTCAAACTTTTATTCATTGCAAATATATTAAAATAGTTTATATAACAGCCATTAGATACCACTTTCAATATATTTATAAATAAAAAGTACATAAAATTTCTGGTGTGTTCAAATTTAAATAATTTTTTATGGGCTCAATTTTAAATCATCCTGACATTTGGTCAAACACATAGGTGTGTTCAAATTTAAATCATTGGCATTATGGTTGGTTGAAATTTAAATCATCTACCATGGTACTGTGATGTGTATTATATATACGTACAATTTTTCTAACAAATAATATGTGCTTTATAAAATCATAATAATAATTTCACAAGATTATAAATGTCAAATTTGGTTTTTAATCACAATAAAAAAATCATGGTAAGTTGTATTGAAAAGGTGTTATGAAATAAAACAATTAACTAAAATAGTTAAATAAAATACTTGATGGAAATAGAATGTATTAATTACCTTTGACTTTTCTTACTACTAATTCTAGTATATAGAGTGCCTTTTTATATAAGTATAGATTTTGTCAATTTATTCACGCGTCAAATTTATTCCTTTTTTAAGGAATCAAAGCCCATACAATATGTAATTAATTTACGGAATAATATGTAA